TCCTGCAACTCCTTGAAAGTCTGAGTATCTCTGCACCTCACTCAATACAATGACATTTGAACACTGCACAGAGACACTGATGGAGATTTGCTTTATATATTTCATTCATTTGCTTAGGTTCAGAAGCAATACAAAGCTGGGTGTTGGGTCTTAACATCTAGAGCACTGATCTGCTACTGCACACACACAGGTGCCACAGCAACTTACAATGTGACAGCACTGCTATAAAATTTCACCTGGGTTTCTCCTCCTCCATCTACTTACAGTGCCTCTGCACAAGTTTATCTAGTATTTATTCTTTACAGAAGTCAGAAGGCAGGGCAATACTATTGTCCACCTTTTACAAAAAGGGTATCCAAAGTACAGGGACCAACAGCTAGGGAACTGGGGTTGTTTAGCCTGGAGAAAAGAAGGCTGAGGGGAGACCTTATCACTCACTACAACTACCTGAAAGTTGGCTGTAGCCAGGTGGGTGTCAGTCCCTTCTCCCAAGTAACAAGTGATAGGACAGAAGGAAACAGCCTCAAGTTGCACCAGGGGAGGTTGAGACCGGGTATTAGGAAAAATGTCTTCAACTAAAGGGTTGTCAAGCACTGGAACAGGCTGCCCAGGGAAGTGGTTTAGTCATCATCCCTGGAGGAATTTCAAAGACGTGTAGATGTGGTGCTTAGGGACATGGTTTAGTGGTGGACTTGGCAGTGTTAGGTTAACGGTTGGACTCGATGATCTTAAAGGGCTTTTCCAACCTAAACAATTCTATGATTCTATGATTTTTAAAATACTGGTAAGCATTCGGTGAACATAAGCATCTAACAACCAAAAGTCTTAAAAAATATTTAGAGGTTCCTGATGCTATTTTCAACATTACAGCTTTTGTAAACAGGTAAATGACATATTTTCCATATTTGGTACACTCTTTAGTCCACATTCACGTAACTATAGAAATCCCACACTGCCACGGCTTAATTTAGCTACTCTTCTGGACAGCCCAATCCCAGGACACCAACACCCAACTTGGGAACTTGTCACCAACACAGCCACTGCGTGTGAAGTAGGGCTGCCCACCGGAGAGCCAGGCAAACGCTCCAGGAAATGCTTTCAAAAGGAACCCAGATACATCCTGGAGTTACTGGAATGCATAAAAAGATTTGGAAAGCTTTTTTCAGTTTTGCCTTTTTTTAATAAATACTAACTAGCCTGTTTACATTACGTTAATGCCGATGAACAGCCAATTTATTTCCCCTTATTGCCGTAACTTTTTTTTTATGTAGTTACTATATTAAAAAAAATCAGTTCTCTACTTGAAAAGGTAGCTAAATTTTACTCATTACATTAGTTCAGATTAAAAACTAGTATCTGGGAGAAGGAGGGGAAGAGCATACCTGTTTACCAGCATACCAGTTACACACCCATTCTCATTTGTAGCAATACCCTGCAAACCAGGCAACTTCCTCAGGCTTACTTTTTGTTTAGTGAACAAGAAGTTGTTTCTGGCTTACAGGCAGTTATCCAGTTTCTCTCTTCCTGTTTTATTTATGTCAATTCAGATAAGACACATATCTCTTAACACAAAAAGATACAACTATAGCCCCTGTTTTTGAAACAGCAAAAAGAAAACCAATTGTATTTAGGTACATTGATAGAGCACATTTTTCTACAGATCACAAATACAGGCTGCTACTCTACAGAAGGTCTTCATCTCTAACATCAGCAAAAAGGCTACTTTGGAGCATTAGTGTCATTTTAACCCAGGAGAATGTTTTGCAGGGGGACTCTAGACATGCAAAAGCAAGGTAATTATAAATTTTACTGTGTATTTGATTTCTGGACTGCCTTGGTAGGTAATTTTGATTTACCAGCTGCCATGCTTCTACTTTTCCTCAGGTAAGCATGACTTTTCTTTCTTCGCAACTCCTCAACAGGCGCACCCATGAAAGCAGAGACGTGGGCAAGACAACTTCTCCCACACCTCTGCCCTAGACATTTTTGGCATAAACTTCTGAGCCTCCAATTAAGGCTGTCAAACAAATTCTGTGTCACTGCATACTCATTTTAAACAAGTACTTCTATTAAGAAAAGGTCTCTCTTCCCTCAAACAGAAAGTACAATTTGAGATTGCAGATTTCTCTTTGGTCCTCCAAGGATGCAGAGGCTGAGCAGCAATCAGCATTACAGAAGAACAGCGCTCTGAATGTTTAACCTCAACACTCAACCAAGTGTGACTGCTTCCCTGTGCAGTCTTGGTTAGTTACTGCAAGCAACGGCCAGCTTCTACTTCTAAAAACTTCATAATAAGAGGGATTGTTGCAGAGACGTGTCTACCTGACAAAGGAGATAATATTGGAAGCTTGTTAATAATTACATTTTCTGCCTCTTGAGTAAGGAGAGCAATGGTACAGCCTATACTATTTCTACTTATGCATAGAACTTCCATGCTGAAATTGTGGTCCACATTTGCCTTATCTAACTGCTAGACAGCTACAGTGCTGCCCAGGGAAAACCGCCGGACTCTGTAGAGTTGAACAGCAATGGACAGACAGAATCATGGAATCACTGATGTAGGAAGGGACCTCTAGAGATCGTCTAGTCCAACCCTCCTGCTCAAGTAGGGTCAGCTAGAGCAGGTCACCCAGGATGATTTATCAACCTCTCCCGTTCTGTTATCTTCTGCACATTTACTGAAGGTACCCTCTGTCCTATCACCCAGGTCCTTAAAGAAAACGTTAAAAAGTACTGCCCTCAGTACCAACCCCTGTGGTACACCCCTAGTAACTGGTCTCCAGCTGGACTTCATGCCGCTACTCACAACCCTTCAAACCTGGCAGTTCAGGCCATTTTCAACCTCACTGTCCACTTATCTAGCCTGTCATCAGTTTGTCAGTAAGGATACTATGGGAGACAGCATTGAAACCCTCACTAATTCAGGAAAAACATCCACTACTGTCCCTCATCCAACTTAGTCATTTCAGCACAGAAGGCTATCAAGTTGGACAGGAATGGTTTCCCCTTCATAAATCTATGCTGATCACCTTCTTGTTAATATGTTTGGAAATGGCTTTCAGGAGGATTTGATTCATCACCTTCTCAGGTGATTGAGATGATGATGAATGGTCTGTAGTTCCCTGGAACAACCTTCTTGAAGACAGGAGTGACATTTGCTCTCTTCCAGACCTCAGGAACCTCTCCTGATCATCACAGCCTTTCAAAGATAATTGAGAATGGCCTCGCAATGACATTGGCCAGTGCCCTCAGCACCCTTGCTGGTGTTACCCATCAGGTCCCATGGATTTGGGTATGGCCAGTTCATTTAAACATTCCCTAGCCCAACCCTTCTCCACCAAGGGGAAGTCTTCCTTGCTCCAGACTTTCCCGCTGGTCTCAAAGACTTGGGATTCCTGAAGACCAGTCTTGCCACTGAAGACTGAAGCAAAGACGACAGTCAAGCATCTCATCTTTTTCCGTGTCCTCTGTCACGACGTCTCCTGCACCATTCATCAGCAGGCCCACATTTTCCATAGTCTTCCATTTGCTGCTGATATATCTGAAGAAGCCATTCTTGTTGATCTTCACATGTCTTGCCAGATTCAACTCCAGGCTGCCCTCAGCTTTCCTAACCCCATTGCTGAACTTTCAGAGCATGGCTCTGTATTTCTCCCAAGTCATCTGTCCCTGCTTCCAGCTCTTGCACGCTTCTTTTTGTGTTTGAGTTTTGTCAGGAGCTCCTTGCTCATCCATGGGGGCCTCCTGCCACCTTTGCTTGCCTTCCTGCACATCAGGATGGACCATCCTTCAGTCTGGAAGAGGTGATCCTTAAAGAACAGCCAGCTGTCCTGGACCCCTCATCTCTCCCACGAGATTCTTCCAAGCAGGCCCCCAGGCAGATCAAAGTCTGCTCCTCTGAAGTCCAGGGTTGTGATCCTGGTTTTTGCCTTGTTCCCTCCTCACAGGATCCTGAACTCCATCACCTCATGGTCACTGCAGCCAAGGCTGCCCCTGACCTTCACATCCACAAAGAGTTCTTCACTCTTTGTAAATATCAGATCCAGCAAAGCATCTTTTGTTGTCAGCTCCCCAATGGCCTGTGCCAGGAAGGTGTTATCAGTGCACTACTGCAGAAACTTCCTGGATTGCTTGCACGCTGCTGTGTTCCCCCTGTAGCAGATACCAGGATAGTTCAAGTCTGCCAGGAGGACCAGCCAGGTGAGGCTTCTTCTCGTTGCCTGAGGAAAGCCTCATCTACTTCTTCCTGATCAGGCAGCCTGTAACAGAC